GAGCAATAGGAACGATAGAATGTTTAAAGGTATATATCTAGACTGCATACAATCAAGAGTTAATTTACCTAAGTACTTGAAGCTACATTGAACTGTTTTTTTGAGAAAAGCAAAAACACATTGAACTGTTTACAAGAAAATAAATAATATTGGTCTTAGGTTACAGGATATATACTATATAGCAACTTTAGGCGGAAAACATATATTAGCAGTGACGGATTTATAAATATTTTTGATGGAGGGCAATATGTATATAGGGCTATTATTTTTTTGCAAACTACTTTGAGTTGTCCATTTTAAAAATGCCATAAATTAAAGAGTTTTTTAAGCTTTAAACCATAAAAAGTTTTAACTTTTATTTTTTTTTCTACCTTAACAAATCCTAAACCTTCAAAACTAAGCTCTAATATAACATAGTTAACCCAAATGTACATAATATTTTGAATAAATGATATATTATTGGTTATATTTTTGAAAAAGTATTAAAATAATGGCATTTTAAAAAAGTGGCATCTCAAAATATTTTTTTTTTTTTAAATTCTCATGAATTAATAAGCTATTTTAGGGCGTTTTAATAAGCGATTTAAGGGCGCCTTGGATAGATCCCCAGCGGATATCATTGCCAGGACAACAAAGGAATCTCGTGAGTGGTTCCAGGCTAATAGCATAGATCAGAGTACAATAGAAATAGCCCTAACAGGATCTCTTCCGATAGAGAGTCTATTCACATGTTGGATTGACGGCTCGTGGAAGGCGGAAGACCGAACAAGTGGAGTGAGATGGGTCCTCTAACTCTAGGGTGGTACAATGGATCTGATTGGAATTCAAGGACAATACCATAGTCTATCACCGTTACATTCAGATCTCCATAGCCTCCTCTGGATTATGAAGAGTCTACTCCAGAAAAGACGTTTATGCTCCACGTTCATCATAGACTCTACAGAGTTAGTGAAAATGGTGACAACACCGCATGAATGGGACGGTTTCCAACCAAAATTACATGATTTGGCAGCTCTTCAGGAATCTTTCCCCGGATTCGATCTCATCTACCAGCAACGGGAAAGCAATACGAGAGCGGATCTGTTTGCAAGGACTACGCGCACGCAGAATACAATTTTTTCTTTTATTGGCACTTCAGTACTTTATTGGCTTTCTGATACAGACTCTGTATTTGTTTTTTTTGTTTGGTCGGTAAAGATTTTATATTAAAACAGAAGGGCCAAGCCCAATAGAATTTACAAATTTAACAGACAAAACTAAACCATTTTTAATAAGATAAAATTAAGCCTATCTATGGTTTATACACATGGCCTTCACACCACCATACGTCTGCATCTTCTTCATCCGTTGCCGTAAATCCTCATCGGACCACAAACAAACCTCTGACGATCTCTGATTAGCCGCCACTAATCATCAACGAAATGACGAGAGACTATGTATTTGTTTAATCGATAATGAAGTGTGTTCGTGACAAAAAAAAATTAAGTAAATCTGTTTTGGCGTCGAAAATGAATGGACAACGAC